TGTAGGCATACTAAGTTTTCGTTTTTTTTTTAAACAAAGCATGGTGACTACTACCCTGAAAAATTCCATAAAACTGATTTAAAAAAAATCTTTACTAACCTTTCGATTTCCTCTAAGCTCTGTCAATCAAGGCATCGATAGCGTTGCAATCTGCATATAACGGTTGAAGCGAAGCTGAGAATCTGCTAAACGAAAGTTGGCTGTTTGTTAAGAGTAAAATTGCACATTTTCTTATAGCTGTCAGTTCGAACTTTTCTTTCGTTTATACGTGTTGGTTGTTTTGTTTGGCAAAACCTGTTTGATGTACAAGTTCCACCCCGGCCGTAAAACAACCCCCCCTTGCTATTGGGCTGTAGGCATACTAAGCTTTCGTTTTTTTTTTAAGCAAAGTATGGTGACTACTACCCGTCAAAATTCAGCATAAATATTTTTAAAGGAAAATTACATCACTTACCATTTGCGATTTCATCTAAACCTTATTGTTCCAAGCGTCGTGAATTTGAGCATTTAAAGTGGTACTTCAAGGTTCGACATCTACAACAGAAGAAAGTAATCGACATATTGGTTTCGCTTTACTCGGCTGGATCATATATTGACAAGTACCAAAAATGCATAATTTACATTTGCACTTAATAAATTATTGTGGGCTGATTTTTAAGAAAACAATTGGCATCTTCACATGTTCTCCAGCTATTGCAGCGCTTTTAGTTTTGGGTTGTAGGCATACCTATCTTTTGATTTTTAAAGTTAGATATGGATGCCTTCCACCCTTTAAACTTCGGCATAAATATATTGAAAGGGACATTTGCAATGCCAACCTTTGCATTTCTCCTAAGCTCGGTTGTGCCGGGCTTCGCAAGTTTAAGCATTTGAGGCGTGGCATCACCTCTCGATTTCTATGGTAAAATAAAAAAAATCGGTTAATTGGCTTCATTTCACCCGGCTTGATTATGTATAACTTAATTACTAAAAAAGTGTCAAAATAAATATTAAATATAAATTGATCTTAAATAAACGATTGTCGGCTGTTGTACTAAATAATAATTTCAAACTTCTCATGTTTTCCAACGTTTACAGCACTTTTACTTTTGAGTTATAGGCATACCCAAGTTTTGCTTCTTATTCAAATTAGATATGAAGACTACAACCCTTTTAAACTTCAACACTTCACCACAGCTATAAAAGAACGTAATATTACACACCTTGGAATTGCTTCAAAACTGTTCTTTCTCTTGCTCCCTAGGATGACCAGTCTACTAAAAACGATACATTGTTTAACACTTTGTGACAACATGTAACTAAGCAAAGCAACAAAATAATTGTTCATACATAAATGATTGTAGGCTGTTTGGTTTAGAGACACATTTGATTTGATAATTCATACTCCCCGGTGTTTCAGCCTCCCCTTCTTTTGGGCTGTAGGCATACTAAGTTTTTGTTTTTTTTTAGCAAAGCATGGTGTCTACTACCCGGAAGAATTTCAATACAAAATTATAAAAAATTAAACTACGCACCTTGAAATCGCTTCAAAACTGTTCTTCCTCTTGCTTCCATGGGATGACCAGTCCACTAAAAACAATAGATTTTTAACACTGTGTCAATTTGTTACTGAAAGGCAGCAAATCAAAGTTTTCATACATAAATGATTGTAGGCTGTTTAGTTTAGAGACACATTTGATTTGATAATTCATGCTCCCCGATGTTTCAGCCTCCCCTACTTTTGGGCTGTAGGCATACTAAGTTTTTGTTTTTTTTTTAAACAAAGCATGGTGACTACTACCCGGAAGAATTCTAATACAAAATTATAAGAAATTAAACTACACACCTTGGAATTGCTTCAAAAATATTGCTCCTCTTGCTCCCATAGGATGACCAGTTCACTAAAAGCAATAGATTTTTAACACTTTGTGACAATTTGTTACCAAAAAACAGCAAATCTAATTTTTCATACATAAATGATTGTAGGCTGTTGGAAAAGAGACACATTTGGAAAATCATGTTCTCCGGAAATTCAGCCTCCCTTTCTCTTGGGTTGTAGGCATACTTAGTCTTCGTTTTTTTAAACAAAGCAAGCAACTATAACCCTTCAAATTTCAGTACAACATTAAAATAAATTAAACTACACACCTTGGAATTGCTTCAAAACTGTTCTTCCTCTTGTTCGCATGGGATGACCAGTCCACTAAAAACAATATATTTTTAAGAATGTGTCAATTTGTTACGAAAAAGCAACAAATCTAATTTATCATACATAAATGATTGTAGGCTGTTGGAAAAGAGACACATTTGGAAATTCATGCTCTCCGGAAAAATTCGGCCTCCCCTTCTCTTGGGTTGTAGGCATGCTTAGTCTTCGTTTTTTTGTAAACAAAGCATGGTACCACTACCCTGAAGAATTCTGATACAACATTAAAAGAAATTAGACTCATTATTCTGCATTATTTACCTTTGAGGCCTTTGCTCCGAACGGTTTCCTAAAGTCTGTTCTCGGTTCCGAAAGTTTCGGAATCTACATCTTGCATTTGAAGCCTGTTACAGAAAAACTCAATTAGCGATTGCGTCTAGTTTCGCTCCAAACGACTCATTTGAAAAGTATAATTTTTTAAATACACTTCGGTTGGCATCAATTTACAATTAAAGTGTGTATAAATAGTTGTCGGCTGTTGAGTATAGAGAAACATTTCAAATTTAATGCACTCCAAGAAATCAGCCTGTACCTCCTTTTGGGTGGTAGGCATACTGAGCTTTCGTTTTATTTCTGAAGCAAAGTTTTGTGACTACTACCCGAAAACAACGGTTTTAAACCAAATTTCAAGTCAACTTCAGGGTTTTCACCTTTAAAATTGATGCGAGGGCCTCTGTTCCGAACGGTTTCTTGAGGTACTACGTCTGGGGCTGGATTGAACATCTGATAAACAATATTACAGGAATTTAAATTACACACCTTGGAATTGCTCCCAAACTGCTCTTCATATTGCTTCCATATGATGGTTAATCCACTTAAAAATATATAATGGTTTAATTTTTTTAAAATACTTGATGGCAATTTGTTACTTAGCAACTACCACACTTTCAGTTCACACACTTTTGCATTTCTTCGTGGACAGTGTTGTTTTTAAACCGCCATTCCTATTGCCTGTGTAGAGCGAATAATCTGCTAAACAAAAAATGCTTTTTTGGGAAAAGCTGTAACAATTGATTATCCCAGACGTTCTTACTTCAATACATTTATTTGGCCCTATAGGTTGCAGAATCTGATAAATCAAAGATTGACTAAATTTAAAAAATTTTACTCTAAAGGCAGTTATTAACTCTCAAGAACAATTGTATCGTATTTCACAGTAATTATTTAATGTCAATGCGGAAAGTCCAAGCTTAAAAAATATATCCTTCCGTAAAATAGACGTTTTGCTAATTATTAGTTAAAAGTAATTAATTATTTTCTACCAAAAATATTATTCGTCTGTAACTTAGTTAATTAATCAAAATTAACTTCGATCTTTCGTTTTTAATCGGAATAACGTGGCGGGAGTCTTTCTACTTTTTTTATCTTATAATGTTCTTCATCTATTGGATTCCAGAGGTGTATCGGTCGGTTACAGACGTCTCTATACGTGTAAGGCGCTAAAAAATACATTTTAATTTAATTATATATTAGAAGCTACCAATTACTTTCCTCCTCAAGGTTGGTTGAAAAATTTAAGTTACATACACACAAAAATATATTTTTATTTTATAAAATCCACCCATAAAAAGGATACATATGTGGGACATTTATTTGGGCTATTTCTTAATTCCTGCTAAAAGACCGAAAGATCAATGTTTTTATGATCAGGAAAACCATCTAAGAAAAGGATACACAAGTTGCGCATTCATTTATGTTGTCTTCATCACTGGTAAAAGGTACATTCTCAAGGATCCAAACAATAAATCTATTAGGTGAAGAATACTGAACGATGTACGTATTTATTTAAAATTTGTATTTTATAAAATCTAGAGCTAATAATTAAAGCTAAAAGTAATTAATTGTTTGCTGAAAAAAATATTATTTACCTGAAGATAAATTATAATAATTGAACTTAGTTATAGTTTTGTGCGAAATGATGCGACGTACGTATTTCTTCTCCTTTTGTGAAAAAATAGTCATCATGAGATATTGAATACCAGAAGTATACGGGTTGGATATAGATGTCTCCATTAATGCAAGGCCCTGAAATATATATATTTTTTATAAAAATGTATCTATAATAATTTGTTAAAATCTAATAATTACTTGTTTTATCAAAGTTGATTGGCAAAACTAAGTTACATTCACACTAAAATATTATTTTTAATAAAATCCAAAAATAAAAGGATACACTGTAAGAACGTTTGTTTGTGCTATATCTTACTTAATTCGTGCGAAAAGACCAAAAACACGAATGTTTTAATGACCAGGATAAACCACCTATGAAAAGGATACATAAATTGGACATTTCTTTGTCGCCATTTCTTAAAGAGAAGCTGAAAGACCGAAAGATAAATGTTTTTATGACCAGGAAAAACCTCCTAAAAAAGGATACATAAATTTTGCATTCATTTATGAATTTTCTTCATCTCTGGTAAAAAATCGACAGATCAATGTGTTTATGATCAGATACATATTCCAGCATTAAAATTCATCGTCATTTTTTTCCAATTAGAATGTATATTTCTGCTGTCCAGCCGCTTCAGCCCGCTAAAAATGTAAAAACATAATTTAACTAAATTGATAATTACTTCTAAAACACTTAAGTTTAAGGCAAAATATAATAAAACAAATCCTAGTTCAGAACAAAAAGCATTTCAGTGTTGACGACTTTAAGTAAAAATATGCAAATGTTGAGTTACATATTTCTGAGGTTGTTGTCGAGATAATTTAGGGAATTATCCAATACAGCATTTGATATGACCAATCAAATTGTGGCATGGAATTCCCCCCAAAGTACTAATTATTTGCTTTGCTAGAATTTCTATCTGTGAAACGAAATACACCTACCAGTTGAAAATCGTTTACTATTTTCCTGCCAGTGGGAATATGGCAAGACCAATTGAACATATTTGATTTCACCTTAGCGAGCGTTCTACAAAGAAAACGAAATTAGATTTTCGATATTTCGTTAAACAAAACATGCCCATTTATTACTATGCTTTTTCGAATTTCTGTATTTTAATAATACATTATTTATTAACATCTGTTGGTTGCAAATTACAAAAAATTGAAACCACCTAATTTTTCGCGAAAATTTGCAACCGGTTTTCTTTAAGGCAAAACAACACACCCCTAAATTTCAGACATTAGAAATGGTGACTTTTGCCTATTCTGATTATCAAGATTATGAATGTGGTAACGCAAAATACACTAATCAAGCTATATAGGTATCTTTGAACAGGCATAAATTAATGTTGGCAAGAACCTTTTTACATTTCATCTGCAACTTGAATTCGGTTTGATTACTAAAACTAAAAAGGCAAAAGCGAGTTTAAAGAGGTAGGAAAGGTTTGGGCAAATGAAATATTGTCTGCATTCAACCTTACATAGCAAATTGTAGCCTTTGAATTAGAATCAACAACACGCAGAACAAGAAAAGAAAGAAGTAGCAGCACACATTCATAAATACACTCTCAACGATCCAATCAATAACTCTATAAAACGATGAGGTAAATAATACTAAACGATGTACATATTGATTTTACATTTTTATTTTATGAAATTTAGAGCTAATAATTAAAGCTAAAAGTAATAATTGTTTTCTAAAAAAACTTTATCTGAGAATAAATTCTAATAATTGAACTTAGTTATAAATTTAACATTGATCATTTGTTATTAATAGTCCCAATGTTTTTATTCGAAACAATGTGACATGCGTCTTTCTTCTCCTTTTATAAAAAAATACTTATCATCATCTAATGAATACCAGAGGTATACCGGTTGGATATAGACGTCTGCTAAAGAACGACAGAACAGACGAAAGCTCTGAAATATATATTTTTATTAATTATATATATTTAATCATATTAATTAAATCATAAAAATCATTTAAGTGTTGACGATTTTAAGTAAAAATATGCGAATCTTGAGTTACATATTTCTGAGGTTACTGTCGAGATAGTTATATAAAAATTATACATATACATATATATTTTAATAATAAATTATTAATTAACAACTGTTGGTTGCAAATTGCAAAAAATTGAAAACGTCAAATTTTTCACGAAAATTTGCAACCGGTTTTCTTTTAGGCAAAACAACACACCTCTAAATTTTAGACATTGGAAATGGTGACTTTTGCCTATTCTGATTATTACGATTATGAACGTTATAATCCAAAATGCACTATTCAAGTTAAATGTTTTTGAACGATCATAAATTGTTGGCATTTTGTCCCCTATTACTGTTCATAAATACATACTCTCAACGATCCAAACAACAACGCTATAAGGTAAAGAATACTAACGCTGTAGAAAAAATTATCGAAAAGGAAATTAATCTTTTCATTAATTAAGCAACACACACTACAAATATTCATCCTGAGTCCAATAAAGCAAAAACGAGACATCCAGATAGGAAGACGCGTATCAATCGCTTAAACAGATATTCATGATGATGATACTACAATACCGACAAAAGAATGGTTGCAAGCATGCCAAGAAATTGAAACAAACCAGGTAAAGGTGAAAATACTTTTGTCGTACAAAAGAACGTTGCTAGTACTATGAATGAGGAGGCTAAGAACGATACACATACAAAAAAAGGTAGACCCGTTGTCCAAACACTTCCAGAAAGTTTTCAGAATGGCGTCAAACAAAAGATTGACGATCGCTCATGGAATATGGGCAACAAATAGCACACTGATTAATTGGTCATTAAACCACACGAACAAACATGTCATAAATCTAAGAATAAATCAGGTATTCATGGATATTAACAAGGCCTTCGACGACGTATAGGCACGTTTTGGGACAAACTCCAATCAGCAAAATACTCTTGACTTGAGAATAGACAACTAAAAGTACTAATTGACAATTTTCTCTAAAGCATAGCTGTAACATACTGTCACAACATGTTTAAGCACAAGACTTGTGCAAAAAAGCAGTGAGCGAGCTTTAGACGCTAAATAAATCGAACAAAACACCAACTTCTCCTCTCAAACGACGGTGATCAAACGGAACCAAAGAGATACCAAATGTTTAGGAATTATCGAGAGCAATAAACTCACTAAATATCAGAAAGAAATCAGCAACCCTTTCAAAGGCTGACGTACAAAGACAAAGGAATCAGCATACAAAGCAATATGTGAACTTCTACTGAGAGCAAGCAAATGTATCCAATAAAACTAAACAACATATGCAAACAACAGATCATTAATTAAGAGAATAAACGAAACGCTGTTCGAACTGCGAACAAAATTGATTTACTCCCATAACTGGACGACTATACTGAACCTTTTTTACTTTACAAGATATACACACGTACACGTAAGGGCAGAAAGACCGATGGAAGAACTATATATTGCTGGAGTAGAACTATCTAGAAAACTTAAGGAGTTTCCGGATGACACTCTTGAACTATATTCCAAACTTTCAATTTCAGTTTCGTCGTTTAATGAAAAAAAAAAGAGCATGTGTTAGTTTGGTTATTTATGTAACATTTTTGTAATGAACGTAGAATAGTGAATGAACAATTGGCGAAACCTTATAGGAAGTTTTTGATCTTGCCAATCAAATTTTCATAATTAAACAGGTGTTAGCGATTAATAGATATAAAGTATCGGACATCTGGAAACATTTCATGTTTCAAGAGTCTTAAATAAGATCAATTTTCTAATGAAATATACGATTTATTCAGTTTGCTTACTTATGAACGAGCCTGTTGAATTTATTTCATAGTTATGCATTATTTGTTCCAGGTCTGTGAAAGCGTTCCAGCAACTTTTATATGTGGCGCCAGGGTTCCAACGAGCAAATGAAGTCCATCTAAGATTGGGTTTGATGTTCAAAGTTACCCATGAGCACGAATTAGCACACAAGCACTTGCAATTGGCTCTAGTTGATGCTAGCCCATGTTCAACGCCTAAAAATAATAGTAAGTCCTAGATTGGTGTGCTCTTTCTTTAGATGATTATGAAAACAATCAAAGAAAATTTGATTTCGTTAGGTAGTTAACATTTCCCGTATTTTGCCAGTTGGCGATAGAGATTCTACGAACATCAAAATAGAGCACGAAAATGTGCAACAAATTTTTGCCAAATTGTATATGAAAAACTACCTGTTCATCGAACTTGAACCCGATTCGTCACAAAAGCAACAAAACTCCCGGAAATAAAGCAATAGTTTAAAAATGATAGTAAAGCGCGATCGCTAAACGAGATTTCTTTTCGTGAAACCAGAACCTAGCACAACTTATTTTGCATTAAGTAACAACAACCTTGGTAACCGTTTAAAATTTTGCACCATTTGCAATTTGTTGTTTAGATTCGGAGATAAATCTGATGTCGTAACTATATTGCAAACAAATGTTTATTTATAAATGACCCAGTCGTTTTATTTTTAAATAGCGTTCGAAGGAAAATTGGTACATATTGAAGCTGATGTTTCAGAGCGGACTAAACTCGAAAACATTATCACATAAACTCCCACTATTCTTTAGAAGCCTGAAAAACTATCAAATAAAAGTAACAAATAATGGTTTTGTGAAAAACGGCAATGTTTTTCTTTCATTTTAAAAAATCACGCAAAAATCTAAAATGCGCTAGAAACCTGAAAAATATGTAAATACGAGTGTAACAAAATACAAATTATTTTTCCTATTTCGCCTTGTTTTGTGTTCCTGAATTAAGCCAACGTGAAAACTAGAAAACGCAATCAAACAAAAATTCGCAATACCCTAGAAAGCTGAAAAAACTAATCAAAAACGAGTGTAACAAATTCTGGAAATACAGTTTGTTTTCCATATATCACTTTTAACTCACCTGTATTTAATAAAACTTGCTATCAACCTATACAAAAATCCTTTCTAAATGTTATCAATTTTTTCAGAAAATGTGTTATTCTTGTCATAAATTGAATATTAAAAAGCACTATTTATCAATGAAATAGTTTCCAAACAGTACATATTTTTGCAAACATTACTGGCATGTCAAATCAATCAAAATCAAGGCATGAAACAATTTGATAAACAGATGCAAACCTAAAATTTTAAAGGCGATTCAAGATGAAAACAACAGTCAAGAAATAAACACAGAATTATAGCAATAAATATGTACAAGGCTTGATGCCTGTTAAACTCCCTCGTTGATTGTACTTTAACGTCCTCAACTCAACTTGATTTGCTGAAAACCCTACTAAAACCTACGCTAGTATACCTATTAATTAAATTTGGAAAAAAAATAAGATTTAAATGAACAAAATATGTAAACCAAACAATTCCAAAATATACAGAGTGTTATTGAAATACGTAGTCAACGTTCAGGAGGTGATACTCTGAGTGAAATATAGGACCGGAAATTATTTCTTTTCAACATACATACAATGTATGTATGAGTTGAAATAAAGAAAAGTTTTTTGTAACTATCTTAATAACTTATTGTCGATATTGGTGAATTTTGGCAGTAAGGAGCCATTTTTATCGCAGCCAAAAAATTTAAACAAAAATTGCTTAAATTGTGAAAGTATTCCCGTTGCCTGAAATCCCTACGATTAATTAATTTTGACGCCAACTATTTGTATTCTTTTTAACTTACTAATATCCATCCGCTTTAGTCAAGTTGAGTCGAAAGACATTCTAATACAATGTTTCATCTGGATCATTCATATTCCTATAAGCCATGCAATGCAAAAAATGCTTTTACAATTTTTAATTTTCCGAACTTTTCTCAAATTGCCGGGCAATGTCCGGACATGGCTGAAGCTTTAAGATTTTAATGCCAAAAAAATTTCTGCGAAAAAATATAATTATCGAATTAATAAAAAAATATTTCAAAACATTTTAGAGCATGTTAAAATGGGTGCCATGATGGATCCCTCACTCAGTCAGCAAATTTGTATATTTAACAGGGAATATTCTTAGAACTAGCTAAAAAAGCAATAAAATCAATACTCCAGAAAGTGTTAAATATTTCAGTTGATAGATTTCTGAAAAATTCGGAAAATTAAATATTCCAAGAGCGGCCATTAACAGTGGAAAAAGGCGCGCACCTTTTCCCGTTACAAATAAAATTGCTCACCGCTCATTCTGCTCAGTCGGCTGGACTCCTCGAAACTGGACACTGGAATAAGTCCGAACGCGTAAGCACTTGTCTTTGCACATCCATGTATTTTCAGAACTTAAACCATGTCTTTTCACAACTTGATAGTCAAAGGAACCAAAGGCGATTTGGTGAAAATTCGATCCGTCATTTTGTCGACGTCCCGTTTGATGATATCGAACTTGGAATCGGCACTGGACAGCAAACTCGATCTACTTGGACTTGCACTGTCTAAAAAATTCCCGCAGTTCCATTGAAACTCACTAAACTTTGGCATTTTTAGTCAATGAAAAGTTTATTAGAACCGAATCGCGCAAAATCGTCCACCGTTGAAGTCCGAAAGTCGCGCCGTCTCCGTGAGTTTCCCGTTTAGCCGAACGCGATG